CTCTATCGACACTGTCACGGTTTTGATCTTGTGCTGTTTCTGCTTTCTAACAACACCGTAATCAATTAAGAGATGGTCCGGAGCCGAAATAAGAACAGATACTTGATCAGATTACTTGATCTTAGCCATTAGGCCGAGAAGCGATATATTTGGTATTACACATAAAGGAGAACCAATCCAAATATTACATGCAGGCTCTCTTAAATATAATGGAACAAATCAGATATTACGTGGGAAGCAGATGAATTTTGTTGGTATGATTTTAAATATGGATTAAATTTAAATGTTAAAGTTTAATTTTCTTTCAAAAGATTATTAACAACCTTTAATTATTGGTGAATGAATGAATGAGTGAAACTCATTATTGAAACACAAACTCGATAATTTTTTGGCAATTCTAAACAATTAATGAGAAATCCTAAGCAATTACTGAGCAACCTTAAGCAACTAATGATGGGTGTTATTAATGATGGGTGTTATTAATGATGGGTGTTGTTAATGATGGGTGTTATTAATGATGGGTGTTAATGATCAATTAATGAGAAATCCTAAACAATTCCTAAGCAGTTGATTAGCAAATGGGTGTAAACTGAAAGTTTATGAGTAAATATTGAAGAAGCGCCTAAAGCTAAATATGAAAAAAGAGTACTCGCAACTAAAACAACAAACTTTGATTTCTGAGCTAGCTAAACATAAAGGAAAAAAATTAAACTTGGAAGAAAAAGAAATGAAAATAAAATAAAATAGCGAAAAAAGAAATGAGAAAAGAAAATTAAAAAATCTTATTCGCTTAATTTCAATGATATTAATCTTACTTATTTTGCTATTGGAGTTAGAGCAATCGCTATCATATTACTTTTAATACAAAAAGAATAATGAGAGGCGTTCCTCTACTTCTAAAATAGTTAAACAACTTGAGTCAGCAACTACAACAGCTAAATAGCTTGAGCCAGCAACTACAACAGCAAAACCGCTTGAGTAAGCTGCAACAAAAAACCAGACCAAACTTTTAAAGGTTGCGGAACTTCTTTTAACGAAGCGGAATTTCTTCTAACAAAGGAGCCAAAGTTGAAAATCCTTTGTTTTTCCTTTGGCAGCATTAGATATAATCAAACTTCACTTTTTCCATTATTAATATTACACCATTTATTTTTATTGTTTAATTCGTAGCAACAACCATCCCAAAAACTAAATCAACTTGAGCAAAAATTTATCATAGAAGAAATTTAAAAATAACTGGTCAATTTCTTAAAAAGGCTGTAAAGGAAGCCAATTTAAAGTTGTGGACACATACATTATAAAACCTGACCCGTTACTTTGATCAATAATTGTATCTATTATTTTTTGAGGGGTACCTTTAAATGTTGTTAGCTACTTGCTATAATTACTTTTTTTTTCTTCTATAGTGTTTGTTATTTCAGTCGTTAAGCCACCCGCTAGTTTTTTTATATCTCTCGTTTGCGGCTCATTAGTTTTGTTGTTTCAGTCGTTTTGCTGCCTATTGGTTTTGTTGTTTAGGTTTGTTGAATCGTCTGTTGGTTTCGTTGTTTCAGTTGTTGAACCGTCGGTTGGTTTTGGTTGTTGAGCTGTGCGTTGGCTTTATGGATCTTTTATATATCTGTTATATATGTTATACACTGTAAATCTAAAAGGTTCTTCGCGGTTCTTTGCCGGTTCATTAAAGAACCTAAAGGTTCTTGGAGAAAATTTCAGGTTCCTTAAAGAACCTACGGGTTCTTAATATTCTCTAATGGTTTTCTGAAGAACCGGCGGCTTATTTACAATGCAAAACGAAGAACCCATAAGGTTCTTCAAATCGTTTTACGGAAAACCTCGAAGAACCTTAAGTTAGGGTTCTTTAAATCTTTTGTATACGCCATTTAATTTTTCTAATCAGTCGTTATATAGGTAGACCAGTATGAATTTATAAAGAGTGGTATAATAACAATAAAAAATGAACATCATGACAGTATTTAATTTGTGCTTTAAACATTTGAGTTGTGTTTTTTTTTTTTTCCGAGCAGTTTTCTTATTCCTTTATGCTTTTTTCATGCATATTATAAATAAATATATCATTGTATATTGCGAATGGTTTTATGTAGATTAATAAATATATCATTTGTTAAAATTTAAAAAATGGCAGATTGTTTGAACTGGAGTGTAGAAGATGTTTGCGTATGCTTAGAACTTAAAGGACTCCCAAAACTTATACAAAAAATTATTGGTTAGATTGAAGTTTCTATTTATTTTCAACATATATATATATATATATATATATATATATATATATATATATATATATATATATATATATATATATATATTTTTATATATATATATAACAAAATCCTGCAACCAGTGGCGGAACTACTGGACGCAGGACCATGCGTTGCGGGGGGGCCTACCAGCTATAGGGGGCCCTCATATAAAAAATGTTATACTCTCGTTAATATTTATACTATAAAACTTTTTTCCGCAAAAAATGATTCTTTTGCGGGGGGGAGGGGGCCCAAATTTTGAAGTTCCGCCACTGCCTGCAACTACCATATTCGCGCACTTCATTATATTCGTCCATTTCTTACCGAAAGTGCTGAAATTTACAATTTCACCGGCAAAATAATTGCCTGTGAAATTGTAAACTCTCCACTTGATTACTGTAACAGTCTTCTATCTGGAACTTCTCAAAAAAATCTAAACAATCTTCAATGTATTCAAAATAAGTTAGCTTGTGTTGTTTGTCACTCTCTTTTCCGTTCACAATCTGAAAATTTGCTTTAATTGCTCCATTGGTTACCAATATGTCAAAGAATAATTTACAAAATGTCTTTCATAATTTATAGTTAAGTCTCCTGTATACCTTTTCAATCTCTTAAAAATTCAAACCTCCCAGCTCCCCAACACAAGATCGTCAGACAGTTGCCAACTTGTACCTCGTCGAGCAAGAACATTGTTTGGTACAAAATCTTTCTACACATCTGCACCACAAACTTGGAACAATTTAATTAAAAAAAACGTGTGATGCAATGTCATTAGAAACATTTAACAAAGACTAAAAATTGAACTTTTCAATGCTGCTTATTCGACCTAAACAATGCTGCTTATTCGACCTGAATCACTTCATCATATTTATGATTGTTGTCGAACTATAGTACTTTAATCTCTAATTATTATTATTATTATTATTATTATTATTATTATTATTATTATTATTATTATTATTATTATTATATACATATATTATATATTATATATATATATACATATATATATATATATATATATATATATATATATATATATATATATATATATATATATATATATATATATATATATATATATATATATATATATATATATATATATATATATATATACTAAAGTATAATGTTAATAAAAATATCATGTATTACATACATATATATAAATATACTGTGTATGTACTTTAAAGTTATATATAATATATACATGTCTATAATTAATTGGTTGACACATATATACTACAACATGGCTGCACCTATATTGCTCTTAGAAGCTTGTACTTTAAATTAAAGTTAAACTTCTTCTTGCATGTTATGTTTTTTATGTGAATATTTTGTTATTTAATAAAAGGGAAACTGGAATAATAATAACAATAATAGCAATAATAATAATAAATATAAATAACTAAAGTTTCACTAATATTTAAAGGTGGAGACTTACTTAATGTTAGTAATTACCGCCCAATACCTGTTCTCTCTGTTTTTTCAAAAATTATAGGAGAATATTTACAATAAAATTTTTAATTATCTTTTTCAAAATAATATCCTACACAGAAATCAATATGGATTTAGAAAAAATAACTCTACTGAACACGCCATACTAATGAAAATCTGACATGGAAAAGACACATTTTACTTTTTGATTTTTCTCAAAAATTGAACTTTTTCTTATTTAAAAGAAAATTTAAAAAAACTGTTTTCTTAATTGAAAACATTCTTATACATTTTTAAGTTTTTTTTTTATTATTAATACTCATCGAAAATCTTTTATCGTTATTTATATATACGAAATCTTTTATCTTGTATGCATACATGTATGTGTAAGTAAATTTAACTTATATGTATACATGTATGTGTAGTAAATATATTTAAGTGGTTGTATGTTTACATGTGTGTAAATAATTATATATGTATTTATGGGTGAATATTTATATATAAATTATTAAAGGCTTATTTTTTTATTTAAAATCTATTTAGGCGTTTCTCGATGGCAAGATCTTATGATCTTCAGCGAGTATTCGCGTTTTTGTTGATACATTAACAATATTTGTAATTCTTACAATATGTAGTTTTTTATTGTATAACTTACTTTGAATAAATAAAAAGAATAATAAAAAAAAATAATAATAATTTTCCGGTGTCATGGAAACTCTAATTATTTGTATATTTCAAATTCTTTATAGAAAGCTGAAGTTAGGTTAAAAATTTAAATGTAGATTCAGTAAATTAAGCTAGATAAGTAGCAAACCTAATGTACCTTAAAAATATAAAAACAAACGCTTACGGCTAATTATTTTTGACTACAACTAGATAAAAAAATATGCGATAGAATGTTTTTTTACTGTTTGTTAAATAGTAAAACTTTGTATTCTTTTATTGTATTTATCTAAGAATTTCCTCTTTTCTTTTGCGTCCTACTTTTTCCTAATGTCCGCTTAATGGTAATTATACATAGATTTTCTTTTTATAATTAACAGAAAACTATAACTCTGACAATAACTCTCATCTTTTTAAACTTTTTTTTATTTATTTATGAAGGTGTTCCAAGAAGGCTTAACGGTATTGTAACAGAGCACTGCAGAAGATTATAAAACTAGGTAGGCAACATCTTTTGAAAAAATATTTTCCAATAATATATAACTCGTCTTCAAAGTTTGAAAACTTGAAACTCGACAACATATGAATTTATACTTTTCTTTAAACGGCAAAAAAACAACAAAAAAAACAACCTTACAATCCGGCAACGTCGGTAATTTGCGACAGCGTACAACATACATAGAACAACATTAAAAGAATATCAACATAAAATGTTTTAAGACAATATAACATTTATTTAGCTATAACGTTTACTTATATCTGAGAATTATTAGGAGGTTAGTATAAGGAAACTTCAAAAATTTTTGTTGGAAAAAAGCTTGTTTAGCATATTTTTTTAAGATCTTTGCTTGTTAAAAAAAACAACATCTGTTTACTGTTTGATTTTTTTAAATTAGTAATTAATAATATTAAATCTGCGTATATTTGTGTGCTGTTTTTGTATATTTGTTTATTATTTTTCTATAATGTTTGTTATTATAATTATTGATAAATTTATGAAATATAAAGCGAATGTAAAAAAGTCATGCGAACTATTATAATATTAATGAAAAAAAAATTCATGGTTACTGAAAATAGGCTTATAACTTTGTTTTTATTAAATTAATTTATTGTCATGTTTAGCGTTTTTTTCTAAACATTTAAAAATTAATAATAATAATAATAATAATAATAATAATAATAATAATAATAGCAATAATAATAATAATAATAATAATAATAATAATAATAATAATAATAATAATAATAATAGTAATAATGATAATAATAATAAATATAAAATTTTATGATTATGGACAAGTATCAAATGATCTATAATCATAAATAATTAAAATTTTTTTAGTAGGATAGGTTACTAATATGACTGAACCTAGTAAGAAAAGTTCAATCATTTCAAGTAATCAACTGCTAAGAAATGTACCCTATAATGTTCTCAGTCATCATCTTCATCATGAACATCAACAGCCAAGGCACCTTGATAGTGCTCATATTCAAAGTCAATCTAAGGAATTTGAAGATTTTTTATCGCAAAGTTATAATATCCATGCTCTTTCTCAAAGTGCAGCTGGAGATCGCAGATCTTATCCTCGAGCATCAAAAGCTTTTACTCTTGAAGAAATTAGGAAAGATCTTCAACCCTTTGCATGGAAAAATGGATTTGTAGCTTCAAATTTAAGCAGCAGCAAAAACAATATCAAAAGTAGTTCAATAAATGACTTACATCAAGCTGCTATAGAAGTTAATAATTCTGTTCAATCAGAACAACAAAAGTTGTCACAGCTTGTTTCATATGGCTATGATGAGGTAAATAATTTTAGACATTGTTTTTCTTTACTTCTTTGTATTCTTTTTTTTGTTTTTTGTTTTTGTTTGTTTTTCATTTTTAATATCAAGTGACACATATTATTTATGTCACTTATTTTTGCAGTTTTAATTTGGCACTATTTTTTAATACTATGTGCACACTTTAAGTTTTAAAATGACAACCTAAAACAATTTTTTCAGAAAATGAAAAAAGAAAAATAAAAGAAAAAAAACTTTTTTTGTTTATTTGCAATATATATATATATATATATATATATATATATATATATATATATATATATATATATATATATATATATATATATATATATATATATATATATATATATATATATATATATATATATATATATATATATATATATATATATGCTGAAAAACTTAATTAACATAATTAAAAATAAATAAAGCATAAATTGAAAAAAGAAACAAAGTTAACAAATGATAAAATAAATAAATTATAAACTAGATAAAATAAAGCATAAGACTAATATATTTTTTAATTTAGAAGCGTCTTAATTAATAGATCAAACTTAATTAATTTGAATTTGATTTTTTGTTGATTTTTGATTAATTTGTTTTAATTTAAAATTAATAGTTTAAAGCTAATAATTTTTCTTATATTGCCATGTTGATGTAGTGGCTAGGTTGATTAATTGTGACATTTAGTTGTGTAATTATTTTTTCAACATTGGATGAGGATTCGAATTCTTCTAACCGATAATTTTTTTATGCTTAATTTGCTTTGTAGACATTAGAAAATATCAATATCAATATCAATATATATATATATATATATATATATATATATATATATATATATATATATATATATATATATATATATATATATATATATATATATAACATGTTATAACTAAAAAACATTAATAACTTTGAAGGGGCATAACTCCTTTGATTCATGAGATAAAAACATAATTTAAAAAAAGAAAAATTTAGTATTTTATTTGGGTAATTTATTTGCATGTTAATTTTTTTCAATCAAATCATTGCGTCTTACATAGTCTAATCAGCGTTGAGTTGACTCAGAAAAGCGCTGTACAAGAGATTTTTCCATTTTAGAAAAGCAATACTTTATTCTGTTGCATAATTTCTTGAGATGATCAGCTTTCCAATTATTCTCATACACTTTTTTTCATACACCTTAAAATCCTTAATCAGACAACATTCAGCAACATTTGCAGGGTTATTTTTTCTTTTGAAAAAAATTATATTTTTCTCATTCATGTAGTTTTGTACAGAATTTGCGCAATGAGTCGATGCCAGATCAGGTCAAATTATGTATTTGCCTTCAGAATGATGCTTTTTGATAAATAGAATTAGTTTGTTCTTGATATAAGTATTTTTGTAGATTTCTTGGTTAATTGTAAAGCTATTTTCTCTGAATATTAGTGAAGAAATTTCTTTATCGGAAAAGCAAATTCAAATGAGTAATTTCTTTTCATATTTTGTGGTGGGGTTTGAGAAACATCACTTGAATGATAAATAACTCTAATCGAAAAGTGGTTAATGAGAAGTACGACTGGTTGTCAAAGACTAACAATTTATTAGTGGAAATTCAATAGAACTGACCGCACTTCTTTCAAGCTGTCTCTATTTGTCACAAGTTCTTATGGAGTCTTTAGCCTGATTAAGGACTTTGATTTTAATGTTTTGCTGATATATTCTTTGGTGCACTTAAATTTCTGAGCTGCTTGTGTTTGCATTATGCTGTCTTTGTAGTCAAACATTGTTTTAAGTCTTTTGATGTCCCTATTTGTCATTATTTTAGCAATTCTACCACTTGTCTTCTCCATAAGCTTTCTTCTTATGGTGTAGCTGGTAACGTCTTTAAGATTATTGAGTCCTTTCTTTCCAATCGTAGTATAAAAGTTGTCCTCGATGGACAACACTCTTCTTCACATCCTGTAACTTCAGGGGTTCCTCAAGGTTCAATCCTTGGCCCTATACTCTTTTTAATTTACATTAACGATCTTCCAGATATTCTCACATCTAAGGTGGCATTATTCGCTGACGACACTACCATTTACTCTTGTCATGATAAGAAGCCTACACTCTCTGATTGCTTGGAGGGGGTATCTGAGCTTGAAAAGGATCTCACTTCTGCTACAGCATGGGGCTCACAGTGGCTGGTGAACTTTAATTCAGATAAAACTCAATTTTATTCGGCCAATCGTTATCGTAATAATTTAGATCTTCCTATATTTATGAATGGTAATGTACTAGATGAGTCATCTACCATTCATCTTCTAGGATTAACTCTTACTTCTGATCTTTCTTTTAAACCGTATATCAAATCCATTGCAAAATTAGCATCTGCTAAGGTTGCATCTCTTTATCGAGCTCGACACTTTCTTACTCCAGATTCTATTCTCTATCTCTATAAATCTCAAATCCGTCCCTGTATGGAATACTGTTGCCACATCTGGGGTGGATCTTCTAATGATGCTCTTTCTCTTTTAGACAAGGTGCAAAAACGAATTGTAAACATAGTTGGACCTGCTCTGGCAGCCAATCTCCAACCTTTGTCACATCGTCGTAATGTTGCTTCTCTTTCTCTTTTCTACAAATACTATAATGGACACTGCTCTAAAGAGCTAGCGTCCCTTGTGCCATCTACTAAAATTCATTCTCATGTTACTCGCCATTCAATTAAGTCTCATCCTTTTTCTGTGACTGTTCCTAAGTGCTTCAAAAACTCTTATTCTTCTAGTTTTTTTCCTCGAACATCAGTTCTTTGGAATTCGCTTCCTTCATCTTGCTTTCCAGATTCAAATAATTTGCAATCTTTTAAGTCATCAGTCAATCGTTATCTTGCTCTACAGATTTAGTCTTTTCTCTTCCAGTAACTTCCAACTCTTATAGTGGTTGCTTGCAGCCTTGTTGGAAGTGAAGATGTTTAAAAAAAAAAAAAAAAAAAAAAACTTCCATGGACTCTGATGTCCAGAATCATTTTCAGCGCATCAAATAATGGTATAGATGGTGTTAATAGGAATTTTTTCAGCAAGAAAGTGATCAACTGTAAACTTTTTCCCTTTAGATTGATTTTTTAAATAGAAGCTGTTCAAATGTTCTCAACGGGGTTTTTGTTTTTATTTTATTTTTCTTTGTAACAATAAATTATTTTAAATTAAAATAAAAAAAGTTTTGTAGAGAATTGAACATTAAAATTTTCTTTGTGATTGACAACAATAACTACACTTATATGCATATTTTATCCAGTCTATTTTTGTTAAAGTCTCCAAAAAAAAAAAATTCAGACCTCAAAGAGATAAGGTTAGTGAAAAATCAGGCTACCTAATATGCCAACTAGGCAAGGAAGAAACAGAAAGACAGGTTAAAGCAGTTGAACCTAAAATTAAAAAAATGTGAAAAAAGGAAACATTTGATTAAAAAACCTCATATTAATACACAGGTTCAAATTAAAAACATTGAAGATGAAGTTTATTAATCAGTGGGGCAAGATTTAAATCCAGAAACTTCACCTGAAAAAATTAAAGATGTAAATGAAATATCCTCAGAAGACAGCTCCAATAATATCAAACAAAAAACTGCCCCATTTATTACCATTAAACAGAATTACATTAAGATCCCTAATACAGTATCTCTTTGATTTGACATATCTCCTGCTGCTACATCTGCAATTATATCTGCTTTCCTTCAACATTTGATCAAATCAAATTACTTGACTGCAAATATGGCTAGTTCAGCATGTGATCCTAAAAAAGTTTGGAGAGCCAGACAAGAGGTTATGGCTAAAACTAGAGTTTTGTCAGAAAAACAAGTTATGGAAGCTCCTCTCAAAGGCATATTTGTAAATGGTAGAAAAGATCCTACTCCTCATGTGCTACAATCTTCTTGAACTCATTGTTTGGAGTAACAAACAAATCTTGGAGCCAAATTTTACAAGTAATATGACAAAAAAAGATTTACAAAAAGTAATAGATTCTCATATAGAAGTATCTTACTATCATCTCCACTTTCAGTCTTGTGAAAGAGTTGTTAAACAAGTGACTGAAGCAGCAGCTGCTGTTTATGGTTTTCAGAGACGTGATGGTTTTATTAGAGCAAGATTAGAAAGATGTTGTTCCAAATCTAAAATCCTAGAAAGATTTACTCAAACTGTTTAGTTGATGTTCAAGCTTGATTTTAGTGAAAATTTTATTTTTCATAAAAACATGTTTTTTTAATATTTTATGTAATTATATGCATCTTACATATAACAATTTCAGGAAATTTATCTTCAGGTTTTAAATTTAAAGTAAATTTTTACTTTTTTAGAGTTCAACATCCTCACTCATGAGGCCAAATGAAATAAAACGGATGAGCAAATTGTTTTGATGTTTTTATTTCCAGACTTTAATTGGTGCCATTGGTGCAAAACATTCTTATTTGACATTAGCATAAACATAAACTTAAGTTAAGAACTGTAAATGGCTGAAGATGTCATGTAAAACATTAAAAATTTTTTTTGGGTGTTCATGGACAAATCTAAATTAAAACTCTAATTTTTACCTAAAATGCTTGGTTTTTTAGTATTGTAAAAAGTAATTTTTCATAAAAATAAATATATATATATATATATATATATATATATATATATATATATATATATATATATATATATATATATATATATATATATATATATATATATATATAAATAAATATATAAATATATATATATATATATATATATATATTTATATATATATATATATATATATATATATATATATATATATATATATATATATATATATATATATATATATATATATATATATATATATATATATATATAGCATATTATATTTTATATATATTATATATAACTTTTTTTAAATTTTATCCATTGTTTTCATTTTAACGTTATTTATTTAAATATCGCAATTTTCATGTTAATTTTTACCTCCAAAAATTTTTTTTTTTAAAGTTTTATTTCAATGTTGCTTAAA